AAAAAGAGTGTATGTCAGAGTAGCTTAATTTACTGTGAAGGCTGAATGAGGGTAGGCTTCAGTTTTAATGGTACTTCCTCATTCTTCTGAATTCATGATACACCACAGACTTTTGAATAGTTAGCATATGATGTACATCGGGGTGGAAACGTTGATGCTTCTGTACGAACTTCTCGCATTGCAGTTTCAATTACCAGTATGCCACTTGACCCGGAATTCAAGTAAGAAGCACAGCTTGAAGCATGGTTACGAGCACTGGAGAGATTCGCTACGACCAATACATACCACTTTTCGAACGCACTGCTCGATTTTAGTAAGCCGCTTGTTGATTCGGGCCTTATCCTGGAGCTCAACAACACATCGAAAATGCCGCACGGTGAACAGTAGGTCTCTGTAATGACGCCTTATTTCCTTGAAGCGTGTCGTACTGATCTTCGAACAGATGTATTGGTGAGTTCGGGAACGGCCATTGCAGAGCGTCAAATATGCCTCGCACAGCTCCAGCACCTCAAGCGCCTGCAGTTGGAAAGATGAATTCATGATTCCGTTTATCTCAAACTGTTACTTAAAGGCAGAACAGAGATATACTATAAATATTTAACTACTTTAGGGAGAGACTTTGAAAATTTGGTTGCAGGGGTTTGGATCCTGCATAATTTCACAGCAAAAAAACTGCGCCATCATCTCTGATTTTGCGAAATTTAGGATTATGATAGCGAAAGTCTGAGGTTTTCGTAATCCAGCTGCGCTGACACCGGAAAATTGGCCTGAAATTTTGCGGATATTCTGTGTGCATGTGCGAGCTAAAGATTTCAAATTCAGTTGTAGCACATGGTTGTGCAGCGCATACGGTCACGTCAAAGTTTGTAAGTTGGTACCGTGCTAGCTCTCAGTTATGCCGTCGCGGAAGAAATCCGCGAATGGATCAATTCCAGTGGAAATTTAGCGAAGTGGATCTACAAGAATATGTATAGACTGATGTACGGAGGCATCAGTCTATACATATTCTTTGCTGCATTAAACTGCAGATATATAGTCAAAAATAGAAGAGCCTGGCAAAGCTTAACCTAATTTATGAAGCAGCATCTACCACGAAAACGGAATACCTTATACCGATTGTCTGGACGGTCCATATAATTTCGGTAAAGCTGTAAATGCAGTGGGAAACGCAAAATGAGATATCGGAGATATTCAGCACTTTTTTTGGCTCAAAGATCAAACCGTTTTACTGGTTTTCGTTTGAAACTTTCTTCTTGTTTGGCAACATTGGTGACACAAGTAGTTTTTCATTGTAATTGCCAGATTCTACTGTATCCCATGTGAACTATACTTTTATTGTATGTTTGTTTTAGATAGTATTAATGGTATTAAAGCAACACTATTGTTGCTATTCTATGAGTAAACGCCAGATAACAGTGAAGTAAATTTGACTTATTTGTAGCTAAATGAAAATGGGTGTAGTTTTATGAAAAACTGTAGTTGCATGGAAATCAACAATTCAACCTATCGTGTTCATTGTGAATCTTCCTCATACAGCTCATTGTAGCGGCGGTCTACGGTTCCTAGAATGTTTATAGAAGTGTGGCAAATAAGGTCCATTGATCTGTTCTAAAATTTCGGGACTGCCTCATGGAAAATATGTTTGTTATTTGCATAATTCCAAGTAAAAACAGCTTTATTAAAATCCCACTGCTCTAACATCAACACGTCCACATAAACTACTGGGATTTCGAGAGTGACGAGTCGTATTTTTTCGGTGATTCAGCGATGCTGGATTGTTCACTGCTTTCAGGTCTTAGACGAAATATAACATATGAAGTGCCATTGATATATTCGATTTTGTAAGGACATGGTGAATACAAAGCACTGTATCCTTCTACTGCTTCATAGTGGATTCTGACACACCCGCCGAAAATTCCCAAATCCTGAAATTTTTGTTATTCATCAAGAATAAATGCAGTGAATGGTGATTCACACATGTAGCTGAAAATTAAAAAAATCATCACATGAAGTATTAAAGATCTGAAGCAGTGCAGCTAGTACTTTTTTTAGATTTTGAAATTTCGTAGGTGTTCATATGTGCGGGAAATGGCATCCTGGTTGTCGATTTTTTGCCAGATTTTCGCAACATCTCAATTTCCTTTCAACAGTTGTTGGCTTTTCGCAAGACTTCACGGGACAAATGGGAAGCGCTTCTAAATTCTGCAGTAGATTTGGTACTCTTTTTTTGTTGACAGAATAAATAAGGATTTGGTGGTACTTAAATTTGCATACAAAGTATGTAAAGATTTCATTTCAGTGACGCTGTGTATTTGTTGACAATGAAATCGTACAGTACACATTCAGTTAGGTGGTATTTTAAAAATTTTTCGATGCAGTAAATCAGTGATATGCAGTAAATCGACAGTTCGGTCATATCCCAAATTAGTCGATAAAAGTAAGTACTGAAAGATTAAATTAAATTCGAAAATATGTACCCAATACTTGTATGTTATGTTAAAAAATCGTTTTTTGTAAAGAAGAAATGTGAATTTTTATGCCTGAAAAATGGTAATTATGCGTTTTTTGCAACAATGCAATGCGAAAAACGCATATTGACGAGAGGTTTTCTGTGTGTGTGTGTGTGTGTTTGTGTGTGTGTGTCTGTGTGTGCGCTGGGACTGTACCGATTTTTCATCTCGAGACCGGCAAAAGCTACGGGGCTGAAACTTTGAGGGTATAATCTACAAATTTTTCATCTCGAGACCGGCAAAAGCTACGGGGCTGAAACTTTGGGGACTTAATCTGCATGCACGTACGGGCTCGAAACTTTGGAGACTTATCTGATGCACGTACGGGGACTATCCCCTCGAGACCGGCAAAAGCTACGGGGCTGAAACTTTGGGGACTTAATCTACATGCACGTACGGGCCCTATCCCCAAAATGGGCGGTCCTTCCCGCGTGGTAACCACGTAAAACCT